AGGGTGTTCACGCTGGAGCCTAATGGTGGCTGCGTGGGTGGGCGGTTTGGTAAGGGGAGGGGGGCAGCTTGCTGAAATGCCCGAGCTCTTGGGCACCTGTAGGGGGGAAGGTGAGGCAGGGGGGACCCCTAAAAGCGCTCTCCCTCAGGGAAGGCTATAGCGTGGGCAAAGTGAAGGCGCGTGCACGCTGTCCGTAGCATGTCCGGCGCCGAAGACCATCTGCGTTCCCTGCGTGCATCCTCCTATTGCGCCCGTCCTCTTCTCGCACCTGCCCTTCACCCGGACAGCGGCGCTCAGCTCAGCCTCCGCTCACCGCAGACGGCGACAGCGCTGTGTGCCCTGCTGCTGCGTCGGTCGTTCCCCGCGCGGGGCCGTGGACCAGCCGCACGTGAAAATGAAGGAAAACTCTCCGCGACGTTTGCCGTTTCTGGATCCTGGGAGACAAACCCAGCTGAAAGGAGAGCAGCCTCCGGGAAAGGGGCCCGGATTCGGGCACGTTTGGCGGCTACGGGAGCTCACGCCTGTTGCCCTCTTCGCCCCCTTCCCAAACTGGTGCCCGCGTGCTTGGCCGCAAGGGCAGCGCGAATGGCCGGAGCGATGCTCCTCGCTCAGGTTGCTTGGATATGGATGCCAAAATGTGATTTTTCACAAGCGTTCGCTCCCCGAGCTTCCCAAGGCTTCAGCTGGCGTTGTCGGCACCTGCTGTTCCCACAAATATCTCAGCTTGGCTGCCTGAAACGAGGACGCGCTTAATCACGCGGCCTTTTTGGGGTCTGCAGCTTGCGCCTGTTAGTTTTCTTCGCGTCGGTGTTGACGCAAATCTAGTCAACGAGGTTCAACTAACTCAACGTGGTGGGGGAGCCCGGAGCAAGCCTGGTGGGACGCGCTGCACCTTGTCCTCCAGTCCCGGCACGGCGAGAGCGCGTCACAGCTCCCTCGCAGGTTCCCCTCGGCCAGGTTTTCCTCCACTTCTCCATGCGGGCGGTTGCTCCAGGACTTCTCTGCTGGGATGGTCAGGGAACCATCTCCACCTTCCTCTCCGAGGCCCGCGAGCTGCGTCTCAGCGCCGCGTTTCTTCTGCCAAGGGGACACCACGCGCCAACTCTTTGCCTCCTCTTTGGAAAACGTCGCGGAGCAGAACTTAACGTTATTCCATCTCCACGTGACCTGCTGCCCTGGGTTTGTATATGGTCCAGGGAGCTATGGGGAGGGGGGGGCACAGACTCTCGGTAAGGATTTGTTTGCAGGGAGGTCACCCTCGAACCTTCGTTCAGCGTCTCCGTCTGCGCCCGACTCATGGAAACGCTCATTGAACTTCTCTGCTGCGGGGATTTCTTCTCGGACATGAACCTCGCCCAGAGCCCACGATTCAGGAGCAGAACTGGAAGGTATTTGGAAGACCAAACGGTCTCTCCTTTCTATTTTTGATCATTTCATTCATATTGCCTCAACGTGATTAACTGCTTCTCCAAGGGTTTTTTTTTTTTGTTCCCCAGGCCTTGAACTGCCAGTGAACTGAAAGAGAAAACGTGCCTTTAATAAGGTGATTAAATTCAAGGAAGTTTGAATAAGGACACGAGCAAGACATCTCCTTTTGCTTTGCACCCGGCTGCGCAGCGCTGTGACGCTGCTCTCCTGCTAACCCGGGGCAGAGGGGACCCAGACTGGCACAGAGCTGGTTTGAACAGTTTCAGCATCGTTTTAAATACGTAAACTGTCCTTGTTTGTTTGTCAGTAGGGATGCCAGGGATCTTACTCGCTGATCCCAGGGAAAACGATGGCTCTCCACCGGGGAGGAGGCTTCGCTGCTAGTGACGATTATTTTTGTCGCTGATCTGTCCAAGGGCTCTGCTCAGGCTCAGCGTCTCTTTGCACTGGGCAAAGGACAACCCTTTGCCTTGCCTCCCGAAGAGGGTTCAGCCCGAGGGGCTGGCAGGAGACCTGGATGAGGATTTCGAGATAAAAGCAATTGAGGGACCTTGCTCAATTCGTGAAGCCAAGGCAGATGGTCTTGCTGACTCCTGCAGGCCTTACCCACGGTCCTAAGAAACCGCAGAAGGCAGAAAAGGAGGAGGCAGGTACATCAGAGGAGGTTTTATTCCAAGTTGTGCTCAAAAGCTTGTTGTTTGCCTTTGCAACCCGACAAGTCCCCTAGGACAGCTTTATTCTGGGCAGCGCGGCGGAGACTGAGAGAGAAGGGGTTCGTTAGCCAAGCAGAGGAAGGCACGACGAGAACCGCTGGCTGGCGGCTGAGGCTGGGGCACGTTCAACTTCGAAGTAAGGCCCACGTCTTTAACAGCGAGGGTGATCGGTTGCCAGAACGAGCTGCCAGGAGCAGCGCGCTCTTTGCATCAGAGGGAAGCCAAGAGCTGGAGCCTTTGTGAGAGGAACGCTTTCGTCGAAGCACGGGCGATCTGTTTGCACGCAGCTGCAGCTCGGAGGAAACGTATAGCGTGCAACGTGCAGGAGGCCAAATTATACGCCGGAACGGTCCCTTTTGGCCTTAAAATTTATGAATCTATGATAGATGTCAGGGAGATCTCTGCCATATAGAGATGGACTGTTCTTTCACTGAGACATCTAAGAGGACAATGATGGTCACTGAAGGAGGAGGGGGGAGAATTCTTGTAATATTTTTAGCAATGTTTGCAGTACTCCAAACTCAGTCCGGGGCCGTGCTCTGTCCTCAGCCACGTTTTATACGCGGCCAAAAGATTAGCCCCCCGAGAGGGACGAAGGTACTAAGGAGAACTAGGGGGCTGCAGACCCGCTCCCTGAGACCCGATAGCACGTGAGGTCGTGAAACGGGGAGTCCTCACGGGCATAACCCAAATACCCGTTGCTGCCTCACCCTACAAACGCAGGGGCAGTTAATCCCTCTCCGGTTACAGCAGTCCTTCCTCAAGCACGCCATTTCCTCCAGGGCTTCAACGTTCACTGGAGGAGACGTCCAGCTTTGCTGGAACGGGAGGGTTGGCCCTGACCCGGCTCAAACTCCACTCATGCGCCCTGCTCGAAGGAGGAAGGAGGAGGAAGAGTGAGGAGGAGGAGGGAGCGAAGCAGTTCGAAGGAGGGTGCAAGAGACAGGGAGGAGGAGCAGACTGACTGCAAAGAGATGTTTTGTTTTGTTTTGCTTTCCAGGCCAACCCCAGACTATCAGGCCTCTGGCTAAGGGAACGGGGACGCGCGGCGTCGGTCCCTCTTCGCCCAGGGCCGCCAGGCGCACCTCCTGGCCCACCTCCTCCCCTGGCGGGAGGAAAGCCCTGCCGAAATTCAGGCAGGCTCCTGCTGCTCCGTCGTGCCTACATCCCTCTTTTGCTCGAAACGTTTTCGGGCATGTTAGACGGACACTGGCTGCCTCCCCTCTGGGCACCCGCTGGCCATACTAACATGGCCGCCCGCAGGAGGGGCGCTGCCGGGCCACACTCAACATGGCCGCCACACCGCGCCACGGCGGGGCGG